TGCTAAACCAACCAGTGGGTTAAGCCCAGACCACGCAGCCTTCATCCACCATCACACCCCAAAAGTCAGGCCCCTCCCCAAAGCCTCACCTATGTGCACCCGAGGCCTTGGAGGACATCTAAGTACAAGTCATAGCACAATGTGTTAACAACTTGCTTGTCAACTGAATCTGTTTTTAAATAAAAAATAATTGATGGGACAATTAGGGAAATGTCAACAGATAGAACATTTGGTGATATTGGATGTGAGGGGGACCTGCCCCTTAGCTCAGCTCTTTAAGTGGCTGCTTCAGCAAAGCGGTCCGGATCGGGTTGCTGTGGTTCGATCCCCACAACTCATGCCAGCCAAACCTGCCCTGAAGGCATTCGGAGAAAAAAAAAAAAAAGGTATTGGCTGTGAGGGCGATCTGGCTGTGACATCTGTCACCCCACTGATCGCCAGGGTTGATTCGGCTGATCTGGCTGGCTAGGCGGGTGTCCCCTTCCTCCCTCAATGATCCATGTGCGACCCTCCCGAAGCTGCGCGCTCAGTCGAAGAGGACGACTTCCCCCGAGAGAGGAGGACCGTTCCTCGGTCAAGGGTGTACGAGTAGCTGCGCTCCCCTGCTGGAACCTCCAAACAAGCTCTCAGGAACATTTGGTGATATTAAAGAGTTACTGGTAACACATTTTAGCATGATAAAGATTTTTTTTAATCAGAATTTATCAGTACATTTTAGATACACATAATGATCACATTCACAGCATGATAAAGTTTTAAGGAGTTTTTTTTTTATTTTTTAGAGATGCACATTAAAATACTTATGGATAAAATAACATGAAGTCTAGAACTTGCTTTAAAATAACCTGGAGAGGGAAGAGAAGTAGGTAGATGGTGACACAGCTTGGCTGGGAGTAGATGGCCAGAGCCTGGTGTTAGGTCCACAGTAGCAAATGACACTACCCTACTTTTCTCAAAACAAATGAACACCACACATTCATTAATGAAATGACACATAGGTTACCAATAATAGTTTGGTGGTCACCTTACAATTAGCCTTGAATTTCTTTATGGATCTGATTTACATCACACATCCTATTATTCCACAACTGGCTATAAAAAGTCAGTAAATTAATCTACCAAGACCAAATTACCCTGGCCCAGGCATAGAGGCACAAACCTACAATCTTAGCACTCAGGAGGCTAAAGCAAGAGGATCGTTGCGAGTTTGAGGCCAGCCTGGGCTACAAAGTGAGTTCAAGGACAGCCTGAAGTGCAGAGTGAGACTCTGTCTCAAACACACACACACACACACACACACACACACACACACACACTCTCCCCTAAATTAACTTGACTTTAAATTAATATTGGATCAGAGAAAATGTTCCTGTCAGTAGTTTGTCACTTGCATTTCTATGGTGAAGCTTAGTAATTATTTAATGTTTTTTCTCAGAGTGTCCACTTTCTCCCGTTAAGGCAAGAGAGTGAACTGGATTCAGTGCCTGGAGCACTTGACCCAGGGCCTGACCCCCAGCAAAGTGTGGCTCCTAATATTGCCCAGAACAGTGACTGCACAAGTATAGAGGATGATCTCACTCAGCGTCACTGAAGGCTGTCCAGGGTATACATAGAAAGCTGCCCAGGATGAAATACAATGAAGAAGTAAAAAAAGACAACCCTACGGGGAGTTGTCCTCTACCTTATTCACTCAATCAACCTCTCCAAGAACTTTCTAGAAGCCTCAGGAAACATGAGGCACAGGATAGGCACAGCCCACTTTCTTCCTGAGGCTCCCAAGGCAGGAATCACAAGCAGATAAAGACACAGGGACGACAGGAGGCAAGACTGTGAGGGACATCCAGGGAAATGGGGGGGAGCATTTAAAGGGTACAGAATTAGCCAGGGTGTTTTCCAGGTGAAAGGAGTGGAGTAGGGAGAGATAAAGGACAAAAGTGTTTGGAGCTGCTGAGGAGAGGGCAGTGCAAGGGCCCCAGGGCCAGGAAGTAATAACGCCAGAGTGCAGGCATGGCCCTCAGAGTGGTTCAAAGTGGAGCTGGAAGCAGCCATGCTCGGGTGGGCGTTTCCTCTGGCTTTTACTTCACATACTTCTGAACTGGGTAAATATTTTGTGAAAAGAAGGAAAAAGAAAAAAAAAATCTCATCAACTCTCAAGAAACAAAGAAAATGGACTGCATTTTCACTACTTGTATCTCAAGAATCCATACTTTAAAATTTTCTTACATCTGCTAAGGAAACTACCTCGCTTACAGGTGACAGGTAGGGCTAAGGGTGCAGCTCTGGGGCCGAGGGGCTTGCTCAACACATGTGAGCCCTGGGCTCCATCCCCAGTACTGTTAAATAAATAAAAATTATCTTAAAAGTGTGGTAGGCCTGACAGTCTCTCCTGTGGTGTTCGAGAGGCCCCCCTCCTTGGCTACCTCTTTTCTCTTTCGTGGTCTCTCAGAGGCTGAAATGACCACTGCATGTAATTTAAACATTTCCAACTCCAGGGAAGTGCCAGCCCTCAGACAGATTTGGGGGGGATATAGAGTGAGGCTGGAGGAAAGACCCCACAGGGGCGTTTGGGGAGAAGCTCAGCTGGCCTGTATAACAGAAGGACTCAGAAGCAGCTCCTGTAGGTTAATATCTTCCAGGGTCACAGGAGGAGGTTGTTAGTGGCACATGTGTCTTTCTGGGTCCATCTCACGTCTGGGGCCTGAGTGCTGGCCTCCTTTGATGTGGAGGCGACAGCACACACAGCTGCCTGGGCTCCCACCAGGCACTCCCTGGATACCAGGGGGAGAGGTGGCTGCAGCTGCCGGGAAGAGCTGCCAGCCCTCCTCAGTCCAGGCAGCGCAAGCCCAAGCGAGGCCCTTTCAAGTAGCACCTTGTGGTGTCAGCTGCAGGAAAGGCAGGTTTAGTGTGAGTGTGCTCACCTTGTCACTGTGACCTCCACCTGCGACCTCACCCAGCTGGGAGGCCTTGCGTAGTGAGAGAGCTAGGACAGAGCTGCTGCTTCCGGTTGTGTCAGTGCTAAGCAATACCGATCCAGGTGTGGTTCCTGTCACAGGAGAGCCATGGCTCTGCCTTGATGGTACCACTGACTCACCTTGGTCCTCAAAAGGCCTCCTGTCGGCGTGGCGTGCTCCTCACTGGCGGTGACATCTGGAAGCCCATTTGCCACAACACCTTCATCTCATGGAAAAGGAAACCTGAGGCCAAACAGGAATTCTACTACCAAAAGAGCTCTGCGCCTAGTCAGCCCTGGGAGGCACTTCACACCCCAAGTGCTAAGAGTATGAACACAATGTCAAGGCCTCTCCCTTAGCTTCTGTCACTTCCTAGAGGTACAACCTGGCATAGATAGCTCAACCTCTCCAAGCCTCAGCTTCTCCAGCTGTGAAACGGGGAGGATAACCCTCACCTCTCAGGGTTGCTAAGTGCACTTTCACCCTGCTAACTTAATATTAAGGGTTCGCCTGTCTATCTTCAGTCTTCCTTTTCCTCCTTCTACAGCCAAGTGCTCAGTAGCTAGAACTAGAGAGCTCAGGGTAGGCGCAGAGAAGTACTGTGACAATGACACATGCCCTCGGCTCAGGGCTATCCGAGGAGGACACACACCCAAACACACACAGAGGCAATCCTCAACGTGGACAGAGGGAGTCCACTGTGCATACTCAGAAGTATCACGTGAAGAGGAACTGAAGGAATCAAACAGTTCTCTGGGGCAGGTGACTGTTGTGGGACTCAGCACCCACCCAGGCTGGACCTGCGTGTCACACGCACCTTGCTCCAGGGTCTCACCCAACTTCCTCTTGATCAAGGGAGTTACTCGGAGTCAGGACTCCATGCCTGGCCCTCTGAATCCTTGCCCTCAGCTCCAGGAGGCCGGGAGCAGAAGGAAACAGCCCACCGTGTCAGGAAGGGGGGACACAGTGCACTGGTAGAGTTCCTGGGTAAAATACGGCATGCCTGGTTAAGTTTGAACTGAAGATGACCACGACATAACTTTAGTAAAAGTATGTCCTAAAGATTACATGGAAGTAGTTCCCCCGCCAAAAAAAAAAAAAAAAAAAGGATTCGTTGTTCAGCTGAAATTCAAATTTAAGTGGATGACTTGTGTTCTAACTTGTGAAACCTGATAGGGGTGCAACGTGGTGAGGTTAGTATTTTAACCCAGTGCAAACCTCTCCCAGTAGTTAAAGGAAAAAGGAGAGTGGCTGAGTGTACCGGCTCTGTAATCCCTCAGTTCTCACATAAATACTAATAAAAACTTGAATTGTGTGTGCCTGGCTCTCAGTAAAACACAGCAACAAAAAGGGTTTCAGGCACGTAGTGGGATCTTCATAACCTTTCCTTCTTGTTCTTTTCATTTGTTTACTTGTTTATTTTTACTTATTTATGTGGTATAGGGTTTCCCTATGCAGCTCAGACTTGTAGTGATCCTCCTGTCTCGGCCTCCCTAGAGCTGGGATTACAGGCGTGCTCCACCATGCCTGGTTTCCGGGCCAGCAATAGCACTGCCCGGAATTCCGGGTCCAGCACAGCATGCAGCACCGGGGATCGAAGCTGAGTCCTCGCGCTTCCCAGGCGGGTGCTCCGACCACCGAGCTATCTCCCCAGCCCTCTTGGTGCTTTTAATGCTATGGTCCAACTCTAGCCTCCGCACCAAGCTACATCTCCAGACCCAGAATCGTTTTATGAAAAATTGTTCTAATTACTTTCTCTAAACAATCCTCACAAAAAAATTTCGTCAGCTCAAGGAAATCTCAGCCCAGCTCCCCCAGATTCCCAACATTTGCCAGACCTGAACCCAGGTAAACACTCACCTCTCGCCTTCGCAGGTGGAGTACACCTGAGGCCGCACTGCGCATGTGCCTGCGCCACAGGACCGACGCTATGCGCATGCGTGGCTCGCGGCTGCCGCGAAGATGTGGTGTGCGCATGCGCCAGGCGCCGCCCCGCCCCGCCCCCGCCACGTGCCTACTGGAGGGAGGATCGCGCGGCTCTGCGTCCTCATGGCTTTCGCGCCCATGGGGCCTGAGGCCTCGTTCTTTGAGGTCCTCGACCGCCACAGAGCGTCCCTGTTGGCTGCCCTGAATAGAGGCGGCCAGGAACCCCCTGAACAGGGGACTCATGTGGCCTCTAGGTACAAGAGCTCAGGCCCGGCGTCAGGGACAGAGAAGTGCGCGGCCGGGAGGCGACAAAGCTGTGAGGAGAAAGGAGCCCGTGCCCCCCGCGCCCCCCC